AAAAAAAAAAAAAAAAAAAAAAAAAAAAAAAAAAAAACGAATAATGTGGATAATAACCCCAAAATAGCTTAGTAACATGAAAATATTGTCGCTTTGCTGTATGATTTGAAAAAAAAAACAAACAAAAAACGAAAAATACTGCACATTTAAATATACGTCTGGAATCAGAGTAGCCATACATAGGCCTATATTATTATTATCATTATCATTATTATCATCATCATTAGCATCATTATGATAATTTCATTATTAATATTATTATTATTATTATTATTATTATTATTAATATTATTATTATTATTATTATTATTATATTATTATTATTATTCATATTATAATTATTATTATTATTGTTATTGTTATTATTATTATTATATTTATTATCATTATCATTATTTATTATTTATTATTTATTATTTATTATTTTTATTATTATTATTATTTTTATTATTATTATTATTATGTATTACCTGACATTTCCAGACATATACCAAAAGCCCGCTTGCCGGAAACTAATGTTTCCCGTTGTAAGGGAGTATCTTGATGAAAACGTTGAATAGTGTTATCAGAATTAGTACTAAAGTAGATATACCTGATGTAAAAAAAGTGGAATGGGATTTGTGATTTTGATGTTGATGTTGCTATAAATATAGATAATTAAAAGTGATTATATTAAAGTTTCAGGAATTAGATAATAGAATTACAATCAAATTAAAGATAATAATTTCTGAAAATTCATTATTAATACATAAAATTCAACGAATTATTTGAGAACTACTGCTAGCTTCTTGGTGATAACTTAAGTGTAGCAACTCATTATAGTCCCTAAACGCATTAAGACCACATAGACGTTCGGAATTTGAAATTAAAGATGATTAAATAATCTAATAAACTAGAGTTCATTTATTTTCTATTAGGCCTATATACTGATACTTTAAACATTCGTGCTGCATTCAAATTACCTTCACACTAAAAGCACTTAGTGCACTATAAACGTAGATATACAATTGCCGTAAAACTCTAATTTGAAACGAACACAACTCTATATATACTACCTTTATTCGGCTCTTAGGGGGAAACTTTTTAGTCTATGATTTCGCCTTAACGTCGCTTTAGTTTCCCCTTAGCGACACTACTTTCGCCTTAAGGTACTGTTTTTAACCCACTTCATTGTTTTAGTTTCCCCCTATGAATACTTCTAAATATATATATATCCATAAAAGTTACTTATTTTTTCAAGACAAAAGAAATCTTTTAGTCATAAACATTTAACAGGTATGTCGAGAAAATGAACAGGATGAAACTTTTTTTTAGCATTAATAGTTTGTTGGCTGTAGGGCTTACCCATTTATAGTGTCAACTGCAATATCGTAGACCCATGATCCAATTTCAAACAATGTGTTCTTTTCACTGCCATCCAATTTAAAAACTTTAAACTCATTTGAAACTACACCTCTCAGATAAATGTAGCGTCGTTTTCTGTCAATAGCGAGTGAATTCGTTTCTGAAAGTATTGGTAAAAAGTTACATGTCTTAATTAATTAATGATAACTAATAAGTAAGCAATAAAATGCTTACCTGTATGTCTCAGCCAATTATTGGTCAGGCATAAAAGGTTTGTAATATGTCATTCGCTATAGTAAAGCATCTATCGGTTGTAATCCACTTAAAATTAGGGGAGGGGGAGCTGATGATGTGACTTGAGGTGAGTTTTAACTACTTAAGCGTAATTTTTTTTGGGGGGGGGGCGATATCTCTCCCAAAAATGTTCGCATCTCAGTAGTTAGAAAATCACCTCTTATCACCTTATTTTGCTACCTAGCGTCCCTCAATCAAATCGATTCCCTCACTCCACCCTCGCGCCCACCACCAGCTTCCCCATCAAGACTCTTAGATAAGCCTCTGCGAAATATAATAGGCAGAATATTGTTAGCAGTCGGCCAGGCAACTGGCGGATAATGATGACGATGATGATGATGATGGTGATTATGATGATGATAACGATGATGATGATGAAGACGATGCAGGTAACCAAAAAAAAACTGTAGCCCTACGTAAGTATTGACAACCTTGCATCGAAAAATGCGCTTTACAAAATGTAAAATCCCAACTCACAGCCTAACAAATTGATGAAACAAGCCGTAATAGAATATGGTTTGTATTATACAGACAGCATAGACAGTTACTGAGCAACATCATTAGGAAATATGACTGGGGTGGGGTAACATTTTTTTATGGGGGAATATGCAGGGGTGATACCAGGATTTGTCCGACGGGGGGAGGGGGATGGGGAGGGCAAGGTCCCCAACGAGAGCAAAATGGGCGTGGTCGGGTGTCGCTCAAAATTTTTCGAAAGTGGTCCATGGTTTTTCTTTTGGGGAAAACTGAGGTGGGGGAGGAAAGAAAATTATATGGAGGGGTAAATTTCGCCTTTCCTCTCCCTCCGTAGCGCCGCCACTCTGGGTGTCGATTGAGCATAACAAATTGTATGGAGTTCGACTTACTTATTCCTTTATATACAGAAACTCTGTGTTAAGTCCATCCAATGATTCCCTCCAAATTCTTTTGTCCCTGTAGTCCGACCATATTATTTTATTTTCGACTGAATCGTAGCCTAACGCGGATACAGTAGTCGTCACCTGTATTGGTGGTGCAGTAAATTCAAGAATTTCGCTATCGCTGTCACTTGCGTTGGCGTAGTAGATCAAACCATTCGCTTCATCTGAAGCTACGACAATGTAGTCTTTAAAGTTCAAAAAAGCTTATTCAATTGCAGTATCTTTGCAATTACAGTATATAATTATATATATAATACACACACACATACATATGTTTAGCCTATTAATCACAATTATTATATACATTATATTGTCTTAATTGCTTTAAGGTAGGTTATCGCAATCACATTTATGAATATTACTGATATTTTAAAGTATAGATGATAATGATGATAATGATGAGCCCTGCTTGGACAGTGACGTAAATGTTTTCTAGGATAGTGTGTGCACATACATATGATTTACTCAACCATACTGTACAAAACGGTGTTTATCAGAGTGGCATAATACAGGAGCGCTCCCTGGCTATAAAGGCAGGGACTCGGTCGGCCCCAAATGTGAGCGTTTGATGACGCGATACCATTTACTGATCAGGGGCAGTGCCAGAAATTCCCCGACGTGGGCTGTAAGTCCCCCGACAAGGGAAGAAGAGCTTTCGCACCGCTGTAACCCATAAGATCGCAATAGTATACAACACCCCGCATATACGGTAGCACTGTTCGCACTAAACAGCTTTTAATCCCTGTTGACAGCTTTAGTAAGGCGTGCTTGAATTGTACTTTCGGCACTTTGCTGGAAATTTCCCAAAGTCCAAGCGGGGGGGGGGGGGCTAGTTCCCCCTGCTACTGATTGTCGATAATGTGGTCGAGACCTCTAATTGAAATCGCGCGTTGTAAAGTAATTCTATAGGCTATACCATCAGTTCTTAATGGTTAGACACGATACAGATGAATAAGAACGAGTTAGCAAAATAATGTAGGCCTAGCCCACCACCTTTCTGAGAAGGTGTTCAATTGTAAGGTGACAGTATGAGCCAGTCGTAGGTGTATGGAATATAACAGCATCAACACAGGGCCCGTATAGGCTTATCGTCGTACGGATTTTCTTTCTAATTACGACTACGATTGATTTACACATTTAAGATCGATTTATGTATGTGTGGATCTATAACAATAGCACATTATGCGTTTTTAGTACATTAAAAAGATGTTGGTCGGCGAAATTTGGTGTCTTGTTGTGTTTGCTTTAAAAAAAATCCTAAGATATGTGTCAATGTTTTATTGTTCTCTTTTAAATAATGTCGCAACTATTTTAAATCTTAGTATGTCATGATTTATGCACTGTGGGTTTTTGATGTATTAAATTGAATTGTGATACTTCTTAATGTCTCGATTTCCTATTTAACTTTTAATGGATATTATATAGGCCTATACTGATTTTTTTTTCCTTTTTTGTAAAGGATTATTTTTGTTTTATTCTGTACAGCGCCTGTGAACATTTTGAATATATAATGTTTGCGCTTCATGAAATAAATTATTATTATTACATTATTATTATTATTATTATTATTAGGCTATTATATAAACTTTTATAGTAGGCCTAATTATGTAAATTATCATATCGCAATATCTTGCTTTTGAACTCGTATTCATTTCGACCCCGCGGAGTTCTAAATCGATTAAATGATCCTTTAAAACCCATACATTTTCATATTTTTCGGGGGCTTCGCCCCATTGACTACTTTAAAAAGAATAGGGGATATCTCTGACCCCCTGCCGGGAAAATCCTGGCACGAACCCTGAACAAACTTATAGACTAACCAAGGTTATTAATACTTACAGGTACATCTTGCAGAGATTGTCAAATTCAGTAGGTAAAATATTATCATCTCGCAATATCTTGCTTTTGAACGCGTATCCATTTCGACTTCGCGCGTGGAGTACACCCAATAGTCTGCTTCCAGAATTAGTTCTCTGCTGCCACGGAATTTATAATGTCTATTGCTGTTAAGTCATAAAAACTAGTGAACATAAAATTGGTTACCAGTTAATTAGAAACTTGTCGATTCTGAATGTTTTGTCGTCACAATTCCATTCATCACGCATAAAAACTGTATTGGTATTGATCACTACTTGATGAGTGGACCATATATATATATATATATATATATATATAGAAATAAAACAATAGCAGATGAACTGGGTTACTTCACATCTTTAATCGCTACAAATCTGTTTCATATGACCACACAGGCCACACTCATCAGCCGAATTGTAAAACATGAATGACACAATATCCCAGGGTTTACTTAAATGGCTAATCAGGAAGTCGAACTAAATTATTATTTACAACGCCGATTATTTATTGGTGCGATCTAGGGATTATAATTTAAATGGCTAATCAGGGAGTCGGACTGTTTATTATGTTATAGAGGCCTATTGTTCACTGTTGCATATCTGTTGCTAATTAAATATTTCTTTCTATGACGACAAGTTGACACTACTCATTCTTGCTATTGAGTAAGCATAGTTCTGGATGACATATAATTAAATACTTTTCATAATAAATCATCCATAACTATGCTCACATATTATTACCAATTAATCAGAAACTGGTCAATTTTATAATGTATAATGGTTTTTTTTCGCCACAATTCAAAACATAAACCCCACAATAAAAACTGTATTGATAAATATATCACCAGATGAATAATGTTAGCGGCCTAATTGCACCATTTTGATATATTTTTAATAGTCGGAATTCGTTCAATAAAGACAAAATTTACGATGTTTTATCTTACATTCGCAATACTTTTATGAGTTGGCAAAGGCCTAAATTCTGATAATTACAGTTGTTATTATTAGTGTTACACTAAAAATATACTGTAGAAAATATGAACCAAAGTATAGGTAGGCCCGACTGTAGTCATAAACGAATCCCAAGGCAATGGCATAGGCGAAGTAATTGTAAAGAAATAACAGTACCGGGTAGTAAGTATAAAATATATTGTACTATAGTAACATTACACTAATAAACGATACATATGTACTAAATAAGAATTTTTAAAAAAAAGGTCAAAATAGAAGCTGTACCAGTGATAAACATGTTATGTAAATGAGACTTTTTGAACGATATAAATATATTGAATTGAATAATCGTATCAAGCATAACCCTCAACGAAAATGTCCTTTTAATTCAGTTGTATTGAAAAAAGGCGTGCAACCTGCAGCCCTGAAACTGATATCCTTGAAATTGAAATCCTTGAAATTGAACCAAAAAACGGAAATTGATTTTTTTTTAAAACACACACATCTTATAGATTTAATTGTAAACATGTTTCGGATTAACAACAACCTATCATCTGTACCGTACGAAGTTAATTGTTATGCTTGCATATATTATAGGATACAAATGTGTTTTAAAGTTTTTAAGAAGCCAGCTCTCGGTTTCGTAACATACATAGGAAGGGTTCTTGTACCATCTGACATAAGAGAAGCTACAAGTTTAAATATATTCAAGTCAAAGCTCAAGAAATTCCTGTTTTGTTGATATGCCGACCTCTGACCCGAAACCTTCATTTATTAATTATGGGAATAGTTCAACCAATTATTTAAGTTGGTTTATTTTAGTGTAGGCCTATGTAAGTGTAGATTAGGATTATAGTGTCCTGGGCACGACGTTATAAACTGCATCCGGTCGAGTCGTCGGCGACTAATTCCGACAACCCCATCTGGTGGTCTTTAGCGGCCGCCAAATGGGAGGGTGGATGGACACCCAGCAGCACGAAAAAAAATAGCTGAACAAAGGGCGGATGAACTCCTCGGAGCCAACGGCCAACCATGCCTTAGTTTAAGGAGTAGGTTTTTTAGTTTCATAAAATAACTTCAACTTTCTTTTTTCTCAAAAGTCCAAATCAAAGAGCTCAATCACCTAGCGCATAGAGGCTTTTTCGCATGATGCGCTCTACAAGTCCAACTATTATTATTATTATTATTATTATCAGTATCCCTGGCCCTGATTGGTCAGTTTCCGGAAAGGAAAATAATAACAAAAGGGGTTTTCCCTATACGTTCGCTTTGCATGACGGGAAGGAGCCCTCTACCGTACGTACGCCTCTCTCTCTCTCTCTCTAGTCTCTCACCGTCCTTCCTTTTGGTCCTCCTCAGCTGCAGCAGCTGCGTGCGACCTTCAATCCACACCCCTGCTAGGATAGGCCTACAGTAATTTTTTTAAAAAGGTTGGTAAAAATCAACATTATAAATAAATTGTAAGTAGAGCCTATAAATTGTAGTGTGTGCTTGTCTTCTCGGTTATTTAGGAAAGAATAATGCTTTGGATGTTTTTGTTATTGGCAAGGCAAGGTCAAGGACAAACTGGCCTTCCCTGCCTTCCTTGCTTGGACCGGTGTCCTTTGTCTAGGCTAGGCCCAGGTAAAAGTAGTAGGCCGGGTGTAGGACCGTTCCTTTCACGAATAAGTTTCGTCGAAATGGTGAATGTTAGTTGTAGTACTACTACTAGCCTAGGCCCATGGTGAATGTTAGTTGTAGTACTACTACTACTAGCCTAGGCCTAGAGTAACTAATAACATTTTAATCAACGGTATAAAATGGCTCATTTTAAATTTTTGTTTCCGACTTCTTGATTGTGTAGTTTAGTATAAGAATGATAGGCCTAGTGCCATTTGTTTACTTTGGTAGTGCTTGTATTTGTGTCTTAAGACAGTTTTCCAGTATACGTTGTATATTTGGACAATAAAGAAATTGATTTCAGACAATGGTATGTACAGCTCAAATTGTATGAATGAAGAGAGAGACTAGTGGTCTTAGATCCATAATGATATCGTACGGACCTCTACTTACTGCATGGTCTAAATGGTATGACGCTCGCAGACATAGCAAGAGATTGCGGGTTCGATTCTTACTAGCAGCTGTAGGATATATATTTTACGGGGCTAAGCTGTCCGACATTTCATTTCTTTTGACCTATTTTTAAATTTATTTTTGGTCTGACTGCCCGACGAGCTCTAGCCAGTGTGTGGGGGGGGGGGGCTTGACTTGTCCAATGGGGAGCTTAATAAGCTGCTGCCTCCCCCATTGGCACCACCACTGCACAGACTTCTTTTCTTCATAAAACTATAATAAGGAACTTTCGTTTGATACAATTTTATCCCATCATTATTATTTATTTGATTTATACATATTTATATTTTTCTTTTTTAGCCCAAGATTTTGAAAAGTAGCATAACAGTGTTGTCATGGCAACCAATGATGGAGATATTCTGCGGAAGCTGCTGGCTGAGGTAGCCAATGAATATTACGGAGAACGCTTGAAGTCCCTCCACTTCTTACTTTCGGACATACTCACACGATCTACTTACGATGCAGCTTTGCCAATTTTTGACGAACTAATAAGTCTGGGTCGAGTGACTTCCACAAACCTCACTCTACTGTTCGACATAATCCATATCACAGGGCTCATTTTTCTACAGAACACAGTCCAAAAATATTATACAACTTCTCCTGACTTGAAGACTTGGCGTCCAACTGGCGCGTTTTCATCCTACCGTGTCATGCTGTATAAGGTTTCACTTTGCCTTACAGACAGAGATATCAGCAGCATTCATTTCTGTTACAGTGTCAAACAAAATGTAAATGACATATGGAGTGCTTTTTTGTATTTGGAGAAAGAGTGCAAACTAGAAAACAATGATGCATCATTGATGAAACTAAAAGGATACATCAACCCAAGGGCAGGAAAACTGATAGATAATTATTGTAAGTCGTTGCAAATAATATGAAGAAGGTTAAAGGATATTGTAGGCCTACGCTGTTTGTACTGTATTGTGCCTACAGTACTATGGAAGCTTAGAAGTGCCACCCCGATGTCTAGATAATCATCTCGTCATGTCGACATCTTTACTTTTAAGCTTCCATATTTGAAATGCTTCCTTACAGCTCTGTCCACACTATGAAAAAGCTAATGGATGCCCATATATAGTCATAATGTGCCTGTATATGGTCACGGTGTGTGAAGTCATCATGACCATATTTAGGCACAAGAAAGTATAATACATACTCCATCCAAAGTATTGAAAAGCACGCCATCGTGTTGGGATTCAATATTTCAATATTAATTATGTCATCATCAAGAATGTCACATTAGACATGTCACAAGTTTCTGACAAGTAAAATTTGATAGTGTGCATAAGGTTTTAGTGCGGTACTAATATGATGTAAGTAGTAAGTAATCTTTTTACTGATAATAATCATTTTAGAGAGAAGAATATTATGCCAATTTGCAGATGGAATTACCATACCATTCCTATATTCTTTACATATATGTGGCAAAGACAAGCCAAACCAGTCACTCAGAGAAAATAGCAAAAACATGCTGGAATGTAAACATTTAAAAAATTTATTTTATTTCACTAAACTAAGGTTTATGTATCTATACATCATGCTGTGCTGTAATTTTCACTTTTTAATGATTTTTATGATATTTTCTGCATGAGAAATGCCTGAAATCATAAATTTTGAAGGCTTATTTCTCATACAGTATATTGTTCTTTAAACAGCTGTATGCTTAAATGCTTGTAACTTCATAAGAAAATGTCGGATTTGAATTATTTTTTTACCATTTTATAGCTCTTATTTTACTCTTTAACCCTGTATTAATAACTCAAAATCGATTTTTACGACGAGTGACTGGTTTGGCTTGTCTTCGCCACATATTAGTCAAGTCAAGAATGTTTGTCGTGAAAAGTCTTTATTAAAAAATAGTATTTATTCTGAGAGTATAATCCTACCATTGTTATTGCAACCAGGGAGACTCCAGCAGGTGGGCTTGCTAGGCCCGGCCCCCAACCGGGGAGCCACATTACAATCTGTTGAGTAGAAAATAAAACATGGTGGGGCAGGGGTGGGTAATGGTGTACCTGTTCCAGAATATCGCCACCCCTGATTGCAATATGTCTTGATAACATGTTTTTACCAAGTGTTTTTTTTTTTTTTGTTAACAGGTGCAAGGCCCATTCAAGAGCGACAAAATCCAGGTATTATTAAATAGTGAACATTATATAATAATAATAATAATTATTATTATTATATCATAATTATATTGCTCATAAATATTTCAATATTTCAGAACTTAGACAAAACAGGTATATCCAGTCTACTTTCCTATGAGCACAAACGTGCATCCCATAAAAGTTTAAAATTTTGGACGGTTGCAAGTCCAGACACATTTTATTTGACAAAACCATGTGGTATGCCTAAATATAATCATGACAACATCACATCATGACCATTTTTTGATTAGTTTTTTTTTTTTTTAATCAACAGTTGCAAGGCCCATTCAAGAGGGACAGAATCCAGGTACAGTATTATCAATTAGTAATGATTATATAATAATATTTATTATTATTATAATATTATATGTATATTGAATACCTCATGTTTTATCAATATTTCAGATAACCTAGGCAAAACTAGTAACATACAGTACAGGTATATCCATCTACTTGCCCATGAGAACAAAAATGTCTTCTATAAAATTGTGGTCAATGGTTAAGACTCCCAATAAGTTTCCATACTTTTTTTTTAATTTTTGCTTCAGTAGCTTTCTGCATCCTAAGGATGCCAGCTACCATAATATAATTAATGTTATATCTGTTATTTTTATTATTATTAATTTATGATAAATACATCATTTTTAATTAGAATATGTAATGATGTATTTACAGGGCAAATTATAACTCAACCAAGTGGTGGCGAAGGTGAGTGTCATTGCACTTTGCTTCTCATTTACATTACATGGTGAAAAAAAAAAATTGCACACCAGGTTTGTACGGACTCTATATTAACAAATTGACCAGAGATATTTTCCCTAGCAAAAATATTTTGGTAGTGAGAATCATCATCATCATTTATTTAATTTCAGCATTTTACTCTTACGAAGGTTTACTGACTTTCACGCCATTATGACACGCCCATGAATACAAATAGGAATATCAAGGATACACCACAGGAAGGCCTGTGAAGTTCCCAAAAAGATAACCTGTGCATATGGCAGTGGCGGATTCAAGGGAGCCTTAGCATCCCGCACCCCGCCCCCCGCCCCTAAATTTTTCAAAATTATAAGTAAATGGAAAATCATAGTAAAATTTTAGTAGTCTGAATAAGGCTTTATGCACTTGTGCGAAAGTGAATAGAAGTGAAGTGGAATAGTGTATAAGAATTTTTTTATAATGATATCAAGAAACATACGGTAATTCTTAAATTTTAAGGTACAAGGAGATTTTGCAACCTTACGAAAATGATAACGAATACGTCATTATCGTCATTCTTGACAACATATATGCTGTACAAGCTAAAAAAATGTGATCCTTGATTCATGCAAAAGGCATGAATCGCCTACTTTTGCGACAGATATGCTGTTGTAGGGGAAGGGTTGCCTAAAAATTTGATGACGTAACAGTATTCGTTCTTGTTTTGTTTTTGTGAAAACTCCCTATATACCATATAATGGATTAAGATGACAATATAGGGTTGAGGGAATGTGATTTCCAAATACAAAAACATTTGCTTAACACGTGTATTAATTCACATAGGTCCAAGACCCATTCAAGAAAGGCAAGGTCAAGGTAAGAACATTTTCTTTGATATTATTATTCAGTTACCTTGGTTTTGTTTAGATGATTTTACAGTTGTTATTTATACATATTGTAATTACTTAGTTATTTAATTATCCATAATATAAAATATATTCGTAAGTATTTGCATCTACAGTTTTTGCATTTCATAATTTGTATTAAAAAAAAAAACAATTCAATTATAATACTGTACAATAAATCTCACTGATATCTTCTTGTTTATGTATTTTTTTTTTCTTTTTCTTGTAATATTTAAATCACGCCTAACAAGGCCCAAAAGCTACTTCTTGGTAAGGGGGCGGGGTACTCAACTACTACATTTATATGCCATGAAATTATTTCTATTATATTTTTTAGAACCAAGAAGACTTGTACATGCTGGTACTGATGCTCGCGCCACTGGTGATAAGAGAAGTAAGCAATTTGAATTATGTTTAATAATTTCACAGATTTTGTATTAATCACTGTTCACACCATCACATTTTATTTGACAAAACATGTGACATGCCTAAATATGGTCATGATGACATCACATCATGACTATATATGGGCACACAACAGTTTTTAATAATGTGGACAGAGCTATATATGCAGTAAATTGTTTCTCATATAAAGTTCTGTTGAATGTGCCCATCAATATTTTACAATAAACACAGTATATAGTTGTGTATTATTAGTTAATCATTAATTACCAAGTTGATAACTCATTCTGTTGAATGTGCCCATCAATATTTTAACAATAAACACAGTATATAGTTGTGTATTATTAGTTAATCATTAATTACCAAGTTGATAACTCATTCTGTTGAATGTGCCCATCAATATTTTAACTAGATTTTTTCTAGATTTTTCTATATTTAACAATAAACACAGTATATAATTAATTAATTAATCATTAAATACCAAGTTCTTTATTATATTGTCAGGAATTGATGTACCAGATTGCACTATAAAACCAGGTAAGAACGTTGAGTTTAACAAAGATGATAAATAATGAAAGATGGATGGAAATGATGACAACTAAAATGTTAATGACTCATTACATTAATGTTTATTATTTCAATTTATTCATTATTTAATAATATGCATGTTTGTATGTAGCTAGCCTGGGTTCCAAAGTTTTACATTTGGGTTACTCACATTTTATTGTGCTTAGTACATCCCATATTCAATTTTATCATTGGTGGCGCTGTCCATAATTTAAAAAAAAAACCCAAGGGGGGACTTCAACAAGTCTAGTATGTAGCCTGCAGTATCATATAGAATGTTTATTATCTAAATAACCAAAAACTTTCTTCCAGACTTGAATTCCATTGAACTACTGGAGGTAGCCAAAGAGTTGGGCAGTGATTGGGAAACCCTAGCAATATATCTGAAATTTACCAAAGCACGTGTTTCCTACTTCAAAAGTGACAGCCATGGTAATATTCAAAATGCAATCTTCAGCATGTTGGATGCCTGGCATAAGATGGTGTCGGGAGAGGAGAAATCTAGACGAGCTCAACTGTGCGAAGCCCTTAAAAAAACTGAACGGATGGACTTAGTAGAACAGGTTGCAAATGGAACTCTCGGACATCACTGAATATATATTTACCTGTTCTCGCATTGAGCATTCATGTCTGGTTTCAGCCAACCATGCAGATAATATATACAGAAATGCCACTGAAAAATTAGGCAAAGTCGACTTAAGCAAGTTAGGCAACTGTATTTGAATATTATTTACTTTGATTTTGTAGCTGCGACCTATAGGCTTATCTAGCTTAACAATTGCTCCACTATTAGATTACTACTTTTTTTCATACAACTGAAAAAGGAAATAAATCGAAACAAACTGCCAACTTACTTCCAAAACAAAACAAAAAAATGAAATATATATATAAAAATAAATATAAAAATCTAGTATTGCAATTGACGGTATGATAAATCTTTTCACCTCGCTTGTCTCAACGAAAAGCGAGGTCGTGAAGATGTTTTATGTTTTTAAAGTACAAATTATTAGATACATAGTTAAGATTATTAGGCAGGCTGTTTTGAGAAATATTGTATTGTTCTATTGTTTCATTCAAAATTGTTAACCATATAATTTGTCATCAGTAGCATGTCTACAAGTCTTGAGGTGGGGGGGGGACGCCCTATTAGATTTCGAATCGAGTTCGAAACTTGAACATGTGTTCTATAGACACGCAGCACACGTTCGAGGAGGGACACTAATTCTGCTAAATAAGGTGGTTTTAAGTGATTTTTAACTATTTGACTGATTATTTTTTGAGGGGGGGGGGACCCTGCGCACCCCTAGATACGCCACTGTTTGGCATAGCTTTATGATATAAGTTGTACAAATTTCACTCTATTAGTCTACTTTTTTTTCTATTGTCAGGGTCAATTTTACTTTCACAATGAAAATATAAAATTTTATACCCTCATGCTTTTACAGCGGATGAAGTTTTGTGAAACAGATAAAACTTGTTTTTCAATAATTTGAAATTTATTCTAAAGATCATTATCAAGCAAGCATCCAAGATTTCTTTATTGTGTAACATACCTTTATATTGCTTCAAATCAATTGTTTGAAAAAGTTCCCCTTGCGGGAAATGACAGCGAAAGCCGACAGGTTCAATAAATATCAATGGCCAATAGTAGGGAATTGCAAGAGGTCCGACTGCTCTGATTTTGTGTATGCACGTAATGAAGTGTTGAAAATGTTGAAATGTGAAATGTTACCATGAGATAGGAGGCGCCCTATTAGATTTCGAATCGAGTTCGAAACTCGAACATGTGTTCTATAGACACGCAGCACACGTTCGATACGAACGCCTTTTATGTTCTTTTGAAAGGTGCCCTCTAGTTCGTGTTAGGACTATTTGAGATAGGACTGCGATAGGACCTACAATAAAACAAAAATTGAAATATTAGTAGAGTTGGGAAGGGATCAGACGATATGAAGTGACATAGAAGTGTTGCCAAGCTAGCTTACACCAGGTGTAACCCAAGTGTAACCCAGCTGTAATCATTGAATACACCTGTATTAATTGTTAAAATCTACAATGAATAATACTCGTCGTCACTTTGTAATGAAATTACACATTCCATGATATATCTACTACTCTCTTCAATTTAATATTTTTTAAACATTTACAGTATTGTACTGGTATTTAATGCTTCGTCAATAACATTACAACGAAGTTCAGATTAATGTTGCTTGATCACTTGACCCTGAGGTGAATAAAACTTAAAAGGATTATATTGTACATTGTTTAGTAATGTTTTTGAATGAAATTAATGAAGTCTGAGAAGTTTTTACTAATAGTTTCTTATTACATAAAAACATAAAATAACACAATGCTACATGTGCTCGTGAAATCTTGATTTTCAATTTCCTATTATTCTGGTCATTATTCCAGATTTTGAATTTCAGAATTAGAAATTGTCTGGGGACACTTTCTTCACTTATGAAATTATATAGCGGACGTATAGTGAGGGACCAACTCACCCCCTCCCCCCTTAAATATGTGTAGGGTGTGTCCCCTGTCCCCTATTATTGGCACCCAAATTTGGAAAGTCCTTTATATATAATTTTAACTCTTTTCTTGATGTACATTAAATTCCTCTCTTTGTCAAGTAGAGTACATCTATCCAAGCAACTTCTAAAATGAATAATCCCCAACGTTACTTTAATATAAAGCATAATCTTTTGGTTGATTAAATAGAAATTGTTAATAGTCTTTGTTCCAAAATGAGAGTGAATGCATATGAATACCTCTATACTGGTTGACCACTTTCATATATATAATTTCAATCTGGAAGTAAATTGGATTGGATTGTATTAGATTGGATTTCTTTGGTAAGTCCTAAGACCTATTTCAAGTGTGGTCCTTCTGATAGTGAATTTGGCAATACGCCGGGAGACTGGAGGAAACAGCTAAAACTACTGTACATAGAATATAGGAGAAATAATATTTTGATCAGTTTTAAAGAGACACAATGAAACGAGGGAAGATACGATGGTAGACCAGTTAGAGAAAGGAAAAGAACAAAATTACTTGAAAGACTAAAAACTGGAAATAAATATAATGAACTGAATATTTTTAAAAACAATGAAAAAAAAGGACCTTATTAAAAAATGACCAAATTAACTGTCCCCTCTCCTCTAAGAACAATATCTGAAATTTAGATGGAATTTAAACAGCATGGTGGTCAATATGCTCACCTTCCAATCTCAGGGTCGGATGATTCAAAAACCTATCGGATTCCAGGATATTTTCTCACGACAAAACAACTTGATTCCATTAAGCCGGGCACACGATGCGTCGTACAACAGTCGTACGAATCCAACTCAACTCCTTGTGAGCACTAGGCGGCATCACGGTCTGTTGATTGTTGGTGGCAGTCTGAACGTGCCGTAGCATTGAGTTTTTCATAGAATCGCAACGTCCGACGAAAGTTGGGCACAGTGAGTGCAGTAGAAGCAAGACCAAGCACATGAGTGTCTGAAGGTCAGCAGTGTCTTTTCTTTTTATCGAGACTGAAACCGTTATGAAACTTATAGGCTGCCGGCACCGTGAATTCTGATGATTAGTGCTTATAAATTTTTACAAAAACGTATGCAATGACATATTGATTATTATTGTAGATTTTCGGTATATGTTTCAGCCGCTCCAAATTTCTTTCTTATTGTACATTCTACTTTTTGTGTTATATTTTTATTCATTATCAACATACTACGCATACATTCATTAAGCTTATTTTTAAATTTAATTAAATTTTACGTTTTTAGGCTGGTCTATGTACACATTGTGTCTATAATTTACATATTTCAATCTTTGTTTAATTTAAAGTCGGATATATGTCCTGGTCTCGACCACTCTCAGCTAGGCTTATGTTCATAAGACTTCTACGAATGGATATCTTGTTCGAAGCAAGAAATCAAGTTGTCTTTACCCAGTACCGTTCCTTTCTTTAATCGGCGGGAAATTTTCCCTATACCTTCTATTAAGTCTGTCATAGAGAGTGTCCTGACAATATTGTTCCTAGTTTGGTATAAAGTATAAGTAAGAAGGAAATGAAACTCCAGAACAGAGCTGTGTGTCATGTTAGCATTGACATCTTACAACATTCTTTAAAATGAACTGCTCATCAAACAGCACAATCCATTATTAACGATCACCTCGGTAACCCCTGCTAATTTATCCATTGACCATCCGGCCAACATTACAGAATCTTACTTATACTAACAGACAGAGAAAGAACCTCTTTTTGTACCTTTCAGACGTTAGAGCAATTAATAATTCAATCGTATAATTAAGTAGTTAAGCTGATTAATATATAATTTGTTTTTTATTTATGCTGTTCACCAAAGTCAAATAAATTACATATACAGTACAATGAAAATAATGTATCTGTATTTGTATTACATTTCCAGCTTACACCTTAACCGCGCACTCCTCATCCAGGGTTCAGTTAGTAGAACAAAGTCTTCTCAAATAAGGACTTAAAATGGAGGTCCATGTACACATCTGACTAGTGTGCACTTTCAACAACCCATTGCATCTTTCGAGTAGGGGGGTTACACAGATACTATGTTCTTTTCAGGTCCTCGTGTTGTGGAATGATGTGAGCATGTAGTTACTATAAGCTCATCTTTACAGCAGCTACTGTACATTATGTAGTCAAGTACGCACCATGCCCATACGCAATTAAGCACAATGATGCTATGAATTATGCGTTATACTCCTACCCGACCTTTATTTTACCCTTTATATTTACCGTATCTCCTCGCTTATAAGGCGACACGAGTTCAAGACGACCCACGAGTTTGAATTCCTATTTTTCTCTGCTTTCTGTAGTCCTGATACTGCATCTATCTGGCTAAAAACGGAGCCAAATGCAATGCTAATCTTCCAAATAATACCATTTTAAATGTTCATCGAATTCCTAGTTTTCCGTATTTGCATTCGCTCATACTAAAAATTTAGTAACTTCATTGCAGTAGAAAATTTGCGTGTTACGGACAAATCACACATAAGAACAAGATGTAAAAAATCTAAAATTTGTATGTCGTACGTATAAGACGACCCCCTATTTTTCAATCATAATTTTCTATTTTAAGTCTTGTTTTATACGCGAGTATATTCAGATGTTTTTTAGATGTGGTATTGACTTTGGTCAATTGGTACCGATTTTAGGCAACTCCAACTTAGGTATAATTCCAGATTGTAACAATGTTTGTGTTTTAGTAAATAAAAACAAGACATCAGTATTATTTGCCCAAAATTGACAGTGAACACAGGTACGATTTAACCAAAATGCATCCAAGTTGATGAAAATAAGCATGTCATGTTCACTGGAAGTACCTTAAAGTTTATACATAATCAGAGAAGTCCTCCAGTACAGAGTTAGACCTTGTGGCTGATCTATGGCGAGTAGGCGAAATGTCGCCAACACTCTCTTTTAATGTTTTGTCGCGAATTCGTTGTATTTGTCGTAGACGTTCCAACCAATTAGAGGTATACGTCTCACTTACGGTACCACGGGTCTGACTCTGATGAATCAAAGAAGCAAGCTGTAAAGAACGTAGAAAATGAAATGGAAAAAATATTTTAGAACCTTGCATGATAAATATATGGGATATTACAATAAAAATAAAATAAAACAAAATAAATTATAATAAATTAAAATTAAAATTAAAAAAATAAATAAATAAATAAATAAAAAAAATTAAAAAAAAAATTATAGTAAATTTTTTTAAACAATCTTTTCTGCTGTCATGGGAAAAGCCAATTATAATAGTTATCATAATAATAGTGTATTTACAATAGTAATTAAACAAAATATTTAAGCAGTAATATATCTGTCTCTTATACACATCTAGATGTGTATAAGAGACAGTTTCAATCTTTGTTTAATTTAAAGTCGGAGATATGTCCTGGTTTTGACCACTCTCAGCTAGGCTTATGTTCATAAGACTTCTACGAATGGATATCTTGTTCGAAGCAAGAAATCAAGTTGGACTAATAATGGCAATCGGCGGTCAGATATCATCTTTGGTCCACGACATCCGAGCATTTCTTTTAATTCTAAAAAGAAAAACACAAAATCATCATTATATCATCATTATTTTCATCAAATTTGGAATAGAGTTGAATAGCTTAGTGCTTAAAGTTGACAGTGATAATAAATATTAAACATCTATTTTGCATCCTAGGAGCCAGACCAGGTTTTGTATGCCTTCAGAAATCGGTTCAGGGTAGTCCAAGAATAATATTTGGCTTGGTAATACATTTTTAAAAGGTGGCAAAAGGTCAGAATCAAAGATCCTTATATCTCCGCAACCACTGGTGGTAGAGTTCATTTTGGTGCCAATTTATTCGGAACATCCATATTTCTATTCACTCTAATAGAACATTTTGCTGCAAAATGACCAGAAATGCCATTTCTAACATTTGACATGTTTCAAGGTCATAGCAATAGGGTCCTTATATCTCCGCAACCACTAGTGCTAAAGAGTTAACTGTCGTGTCAATTTGTTACTTTGGTATTTTAATCGTGGATTATCTTACGCCGTGTGTGTGAACATACCCTAGTCAAGTCAGTCTTAAGGCTGTAGTGTGACATTCATTAACTTTAATACATTATAAGAGAGCGTATCTATTGCACAATACCTTGCTTAGCTTGAACTGTGACCAGGTTAGTTTCATTGTCCAGAGGTTCAATAATGATTTCAACAAAATTAAACTGGCCCTAGAAATATAGGAAAAAAAATATGATTGATTGCTTATGCAATGTATTATTGATTGGTGGTGGCACCAGGATTTGCCAATCTTGAGAGGGACTAAATAATAAATAATTAATAATAACAACAACAACAACAACAACAACAACAACAACAACAACAACAACAATAATAATAATAATAATTATAATATTATGACATTTTAATAGTGCCTAACAACAAAAATTCTCTAAGCACTCAAAATGAAATAATTAAATACAGTACCCTCAATCATGAGTAAGGCAAAACAAATTAGTGTAAAAGCTAAATACAAAAAACTACACTTAAAATAAATGGGCCTCCAAAGCATTCTTAAATATACTGAGTGATGTGATAGAACAAATTTCCTCTGGGAGAGCATTGTAGACAGATGGTGAAGCAACCGAGAAAGATTTGCTTCCAAAAGACCAAATGATCATTTGTAATGAAGATATGGTGTCGTCAGGTGCTCACCGAGACCGGAAATAGTTCTGTCGATCAACAGTCATATGACCTTCATACGACGCTGTGTGTGCCGGGCTTTATATGTTTACCTTTATTGTTCCAAGGCGATAATCTTGTTCACTCTGGTTGTATACAATCGTGACATAGTCATTGCCGATGTGGAGCTTCTTCCCGTTACAGTGAGGATCAGATTCCTTATTTGGCATTAACGTTGCCACATGAAATATTACTGTAAAAAAGATATAACAAAATTAACTTAGATACATTGGTAACAATCTGTTACCTACCCAAAATTTTAGCTTAGTTCATTTTAATTTGCATTCAACAGTAACATACGACGGTCACGCATGAATTAATCCATTCTAGCGTTGCATCACTGCCCAAATCGAAAGCTTCCTATTACAATACTGACCCTGCATCATATCGTCTTGCCAACTATATGCAAATTTCCCATCAGAGCCACTATGATCCAGGCCACCTGTGTACACCTCAGACGGATTGACATTCGTCAGTGAAATCAGAGTTCCAAGTCCACGGAGGAAGTCCACGTATCTCGAAGATCCATACACATTTGAGAGTATAGCTGTCTCGTTGTCAACCTAGGAAAGTTAAAATAATTTCAGATATTTTAATAATTAAGTCTTAATATAGTAATATAGTAATGTAAGGAAAGGTAGGAAATAAACCTGCGTCTTGCATCTTTAACTAGGTTGAATTGCGCACAGGCATGGACTAACAACTATATTAATAAATAACTTTCTTCTCCCCTTGGTCATGTCATATATCCAATCAGCTACCAAAAGGCACACATTCATTTATCCACAACTACAGGGGCTGAATGTACCAGTACACCAGGGTAACTCCAACTCTTCTCGAAGGATGTACATCAGGTCAATTGAGTACACTTCTCAGGGGCGGATCCAGATATGTCCAAAAGGGGAGGGGAGAAAAGGGGGCCTAAAGTGGGGCCGATAGACACACTATCCTAAGGGGTCAGGAGGCATGCCCTGCAAAATTGTTGTCTCCCAAAAAAACCGTTTTGGGCGATCAATTTTTTCTTTTTCTTTCTTTCTGCTTTTTTTTTTTTGTTTTTTTTTTACTTTCCAAAAGGGGGAAAGTGTCCCCCACTTTTATGAAAATAGTTATGGTTGATTATGAAAATCAATTTGGATCACTTTTAGTCAAACAGGTAACTGCAATTAGAGCAGGTGATGGACAATTGAGTTGCGCTGGTGAGGTCATGCCTCATCAAGGATTAGTGATAGGCCAGTCAAAGCACTATTGTATTGGTTTCAAAATCATAGGTCATCCTCAACTCTAGTTTAAGGATAGATGCAAAAGTGTATTCAAGTTATGGTATGCCAATCACGTGAAGAAAAATGTTTGACAACTTATGCTAAGGCGAGACTTTTTAATACCTTGTAAATTTTGTTTGTCTATTTAGCAAATATTTTTGCCAAAAACATCCAGATTGAGGAGAAAATAAAAATAAAATTTTATTTGTGAATGCAAACATTGATATATATTTTTACATTAATTACCTCCTTACCTGATCATGCTCAACATAGACCACGCCTATCTTATGGGCATCATATGGTGGTATGCGATCCAATACTTTAATAGCTCTTTGGACAACCTGAATAATACAATAAAATTTGTTATAAAAAAACTCAATCAGCTAATTCCTTCGATTAAACTTGAAAATATTAATAGTGAGTGGGAATTATGAACCTACCTGGCCAGTATGTAGCGTCAACGGACGATCTTGCTCATTTCCAAAATATGGTGAGTGATAGAGTTGCAGAAAAACAAAGCTAAAAGATACAAAACTTAAAAATATAGAGTCTGCCATGAGCTCTCTCTCTATATATATATTGGGCACACCTGGTTAATGATGAGCAAAATCATAATTTTTCTGAAATTTTATGTAAAAAATGGACGACAGCACTGAATGTGTAAATCTAAATCAACGGTGATCGCCTTAGTCTACGCTGGATGTGCGAGTCCTTCGAGCGATTTGCCTAGGCCCCCAGAAGGCCTCTCAAAACTCTCCATATTTGTAGTCTGAATGTAAATTTAAATTAAATCAACCTTAGTCTCATGAATAATGAATCATTCAAAATGTATACATTGTTATAAAAAGTACCTCTATGCTAACTTCATTACATTTTAGATGATTTAATATACGCCAAAGTTTACAACCAATCGGCGAAATTGCGATGACGTCATCTTTGGTGACTAATTTGGTCTATCAGTATGTGTTATCTCATAGAGCTCCAATGTATTAGACAGTACATTTTTACTACTGGTTATCCCTGGAATATGTGCTAAATGAATAAATAATATATTATAAGAATAAAAATATATTATAGATTTATAGATTTTACCTTGGATTTACACCCTGCTTGTCTGATTCCCTGCCAACAAATGACCCGGATCTCTTTGAACGGTCAGTCTCTGGATGGTTGAAGCTAAATGTGTTTTCCTGTGGATTACCCGTAGAGATAGTGTGACCTCGAGGGCGCCGCAAAGGAGCAAAGTTATCATCTAGTGACAAAGGTGGTTGGTAGGTTCCTTTTTGTGAGATCACCTCTTGTGTATCCAAATGACTTCCATCTTTTTGGGTCTGGAGAAGTCTTGCTGTTGGTGATGCACTCATGTTAACCTGGATAGTCTGATCAGTTCGTGTAGGGATCTGCCGCGACTTGACAGCAGCAGTATCTGTAAGGCTTGTGGCAGCGGCCGTATCGGTAAGGCTTGCAGTCAGTTCCTGGTCTTTCTCCAATTCAACCAAATTTGTATTACTACAACTCAGTTTTGGCATGGATTCCTTCGAAAGTTTCAAGTCTTTGTTCACTGCAGATTCATCATCATCATCATCGTCATCATTCTTCTCAAAGAGTTCCTCTAACATACAAGCATTGGTGTAAGAGTGTGGCTGCTTATATTCACCTACACCCGAGCTCAACTGCGTTTCACCAGATGTGTACATATCCAGGTTATCCTCTTCGTCACCATCTACTTGACTGAAAATTGCAGGTGAGGAATCAGATTTGTGAATTGGATAGAAAGCATCAGAAACATTGTACTGACTCAAGCCTTGTATGTCTTTTTCAACTAAGCTCATAAATGCCTCCATCTTGCTAAACTGTTAGACAAAGAACAACAAAAATATTACGATGTGCACACTTTTTGCAAATACAACTAACACTGAAAATAGCTTTTCGCATGTACCACAATTCTAGATATGACATTGATGAAGAGTTACTATAGTTAAACTTCTCTGTGCAATTTAATTACTGCATATAACATTTAACATTTGTAGTAAGTTCTTTTACAATGGCTGTAAATATGGATTTATGGATATGGATAAATATGGAGTGGAGTTGAATAGCGGGTTCAATTCCTGCCAGTTGCAGGATTTTTTCTCACGACATAAACAACTCCACTCCCTAAATCTCATATTGAGATTTAGTTTGTGTAAAGCATCGTGTGTGTGTATGTTTGTCTTGTGTAAGGGATTGTCACCTACTAGTAGGACAGTGATATATATTCGCTATTGGCAATCCTTGGCACATGTGTTGTGTGCCTAAAGAAAGAATAATAATAATAATAATAATAATAATTTCTTTTAGTTCCAATGAGGAGCTCTAGAAACACTCAGCTGATTGATATAGATGATTAATAAGATTTTTTTTAGGTCTACTGCCTCTATTATACTGCCCTCATAAGGAGCTCTAGATACACTCGGCTGACTGATTAATAGATCTTTTTTGATCTACTGCCTTTATTATACTGCCCTCATGAGGCTGATTAATTAATAAGTTGACTGATTAATAGACCATTTTTTTTGCTCTACTGCCTCTATTATACTGCCCTCATCGCAGCTTTGAGATTACGAAAACTTTTTTTTATATAAATGCTTTAGATGTTGGTGGAAAATAAATGTGCTCTTGAACCATATGAAATTAAAAAAAAGAAATTTGATACATCTCATAAGCGCCCACCTCTTGTAAGAGCCCCAACCCTGTAAGCGTCTGCAGCCACTTTTCTGCTTAAAAATAGGATCTGTAGTATTTCACCTCTAGTAAGCAGTCATGTCAGAGGTCAAGAAGTATTTTTTTTTAAGTGATACTCTTTTGTAATCATGTAAATTAAATTTTGTAGAATCAAAACGCAATTACCCTTGGCTTTTTAGAGAGGTGGTCTTCATACTTTGAGGGACCTTTTTGATGAGGAGATGCACCCAATTCTGGTTTCTCAAAATCCATATCATGATCTTGATCTTCGAATGACACTGTTAAAAAACACACAATGCAATTATACTTTGTATTATGGAAAAATGTTCATCAGCTCCAAGCACTAGCACTATAGTTAATTTCCAATATCTCAATTGGGAGTGGGGAGTGCGATTTTTTTTGGGGGGGGAATGCTTTCACCATCACCCCTCCCCACACACACACACACATTAAGAACAAATTCAAATGAATGTTTGTCTTTGTCAAGATTTAGTGGTACAATTAATAAATTAACTTAAAATGTAGTTATAACTACTATTAAGATTTACTAGTGTGAAGTGTTACTCATGTAAAGTAACTGCAAAGTGTTAGCACACTATTCACTACTGGCCGAAACTGATGTTAGATAAAATTATAAATTGAAAAGCTAAAGCAAGATCAAAATTGGAGGAAAGAGAAAAGTAAGAGAGAGAAGAGAGAAACAGAAAAGGAGCACAAAAAAAAAAAACAAGATAGGAAGAGAGATATAAAAAAGGACAAACAAGAAGAGAGGCACTTTTATATATATACGTTTATAATATACTATATTTGATGAGACTATTTTATATTGATACCAACAAGATAATTTAAGGAATTTCAACATCTATTCAAATTGGTTCAATGGACCATTCCGGTATTAATCCCGCCCTTGAATATTTTTGCAAAGGTCCCACCAAAGGACAGCGTAAAGCATACGTAAACACATGCATTTGTGGGATAACGTGCGTTTGCAGGACCAAAAAGTGCATAATCCTGTCCTAGCCCTGTTCTGATTGGTCAATTTTGTTTGACTCTCCGGAGGGCTCCATTTATTGGTATTGGTATCTTCCTTTGAGATTATAAAGCGCACTTCTTTTCCCTGATCATTTGGTCCACATGCTTTAAGTGCTGCTGCTGGTAATCAGCGTAGGAGCAAGCAACCCCACCAGGTACCCATTTATACTCCTGGGTGGAAAGAAGCAATGCAGATAAAGTGCCTTGCTCAAGGACAAAAGTGAAATGCACAGTGTCAGTTAGGAAACCAAACCGTTCCCACTGTGCTAAAACCGCTTGCTTCCACATAGTTGTGCTATAGTCCGATCATGGAAATTATATATCAACAACTGCATGCATCTTACATTGCATGCAAGGAGTGGGCATATATTATGGTACACTAAATTTCAGGATCATATCAATCAACACAACGATGCAATTATGCAGTATCCAACTTATTTTGACAATTTAGAACTCCATCACGAAAGAGTTATTGAATAGGGAGTGTGCCACCCATACAGCTATGATGAAGGGATTACACAAAGCCATCCTATTTAGGATGGTCATGAAGCTAAAAAAGCTCTACGGAATGAGAAATTTGCATGTGTAGCAAATAAAGTAATAAATCTAATTTAAAGGCTAACCGTCCAGAAACTCATGTTGGGAATCGGGAGATTCCACAATCACGGAAGGGGTTACAATTGAAACGATTGGTTGCATCTCTTCAGATGGTTCTTCACTTTCTGCAATGCTCGAAATCAACTTTTTCTTGTCTGGTTAATGAAAATATAAATGTAAATATCAACATGCAAAAGCAAAATATATAGTCATTAGCATCTACTGTTTTTTTTTTGGTACATCCCTCACAAGGATGTCATCATAGTGGATTTTAGTCTGAACAAACAGCATCTTGTTTAAATCTACTTATGTTTTAGGAGCGGATCCAGAGATGTCCGAAATGGGGGGGGGGGGGGGGAGAGGACAAAAGACAACACTATTGTAGGGGGTTCGGGGCTAAACCCCTTTAACTTTTTGCTTTCCAGATGCCTGAAAATAACCTCTGAGGCATTTTGGCCGATCAATTATTTCTTTTTCCTTTCATATTTTTTTTTTCTTTTGCCCAAAAATAACCTTTGAGGCATTTTGGCCGATCAATTATTTCTTTTTCCTTTCATATTTTTTTTTTTCTTTTTTTTTTTACTTTACAAAAGGGGGAAAAACCTGGGCCAGCGTGGTTCCCCCTCCCTCTAAATCCACCCCTGTGTTTGCCAAATGTAATGTATGACACCACCTTGTGTGAGAAGCAGTATAGTGCATTAAGTATAGTAACATGTTAATAAAGCAGTGAACACTACTCATCAAAATCTATATTACACAAATCAATGGTGAAATTTGCAGTCTAAGAGCGAGATATACCTGCATCAACTGATGAATGACAATATTTCCTGCCAGTGAAACTTACCTAAAAAATAATGAAACTGTCCAACCCAGCCTTATGAGAATGCACTAAACCAAGCAAGCTTAGATATCATTTCTGACTGTAATGTTTTTATCAGTTCATCCAGGTATGTACATCATGGAATAAACTTATTTTGTTGTTAATTACAAAATAACGTAAAGTTAGTAAAATTCGAATAGATTATTGGTAAAACAATAGATGAATATGTGGTTAATATTATAGCGGTACTTCTTCTGCTACATAAATTATACAGGTGGTGTTATTGATTATGGCAGTGATGATGATACTGCTGATGATGATACTGAAGATGATGATGATAATGATGATCAGGATAATGATAATAAGGACATTAATCATGGTATTGGCAGTGATGATCAGATTATGATCTCATGTGATTATCATGATATAGATGATCATGCTGATGATGATGTTGATAGTCAGAACTTACTAAAAGGTGTTGATTCAACAGAGGGTATTGCAGGCTCTGGTAAGCTTAAATCCTCATCTTTTTCTGTTGATTGTTCAGCTTTAGCAATATTTGGCATTTTCCATCCATCTGATTTCAGTTTTAAATTTGCCAACAGAAGGGAGGATATGTCCCTCAATGGAAGCTCCGCTTCAAATGGCACAAGCTTTCTCTGATTCTGAACCCGCATAGTCCACGACATGTTGCCAGTTGATCGCCGGATGTAGATCTCTGCCCAACCTTGGCACCAGCATGTGCAGTTGTACTGTAATACTGGTCGTGGTGATGTAAGTGCTGGGAAGAACACATTGTTGCTACTAGGTCCAGTATCACTGGATGATCTTCGTGGAGAAGACCTGGGTCTTAAGGATGCTGCAGATGATGCCGCCAGAGAAGAATCAGACCGGCTTCCTCTTCCAGATGGTTTTGGAACGTTCAACATGTCATCATAACTGCTAACATGAGTATCTTTATCTTTTAGTCGCGGGAAAGCATTACTTCCGGCATCGGTATCACCAGTCGATTGGATGGATACATTTAAAATGTCACTGCTTTCAGATTTTAATACTCCGCTGATCTGGGTGAGTCTGTAGCCGCTGCTGTCATCAACATTCATAGCTGAGAATGTGTCGGCTTCTTTTGCAACTTCTTGCTGAAATAACCCATTGCATTTCTCACAGACACCATTTTTGAACATCCGAGAACTCCCACCACTTGTTGTTATGGTGATAACTTTATTGCCTAGCAACCAGCTCTGTGTCTGACCTCCAGAAAAAAGAAACTCTTCAACAGGCAACCTGGATATTTTAAAGAAAAAAATATATAGTGTGCATCATGAGAGTGAGATAACATATATGTACAAATCACGAATAATAAACTATGTAAATATTTATTGCAAAATTCTATGCATTTTTAATTTGATGCATATTTACAAATGTTTACGCTGAGACTTTAGAAGAAATATCCAAGGGAAGGATCGTAGCGGAAACTTCATTATTCACTTGATTGTACCTTTTCGGTTGAGTTGTACAGGAGGAGAATGTATAGCGAGCCATCATATCCATACAGGTTTCCGTAAGGAGTGAGTTCAGTTCCTGGTAAACCTCATCATCTGGACTTGTGACAATTTCCTGGGTGTGCTTTTCCTCTTTACTACCTTTCTTCAGAACAAAGTGACCACTGCAAAAGAAATAAATTTAGTAAAATAAACTATATAATAGTAGATTACTTTTAAAAAATGATTTTGGGATAATTTGTATTAGGATGGAAAATTCTATTATTTTTAAAAAGTGTTCTAGGAAACATTGGCAGTAGTTGGTTTATTCATAAAGAAAAAAAAGAATAGCCGAAAATTCTACGGGTGTGGTCTGTGACTACCTAGCCACCGTAAAGTGGTGCACAACGAAATTTCACAACGACAGGGCTGAAATGAATCATTTGGGGTATAAACTCCTACAATAGACAAAAGTAATTTGATTCGGTAACTAAAAGCCTTGAGATGGCCAATGTGTCGCTTACAGAAATCAGTCGGTAATTTACCAAGTAATAAGTACATTGCTTTTGGGTCTTTTTAAGCTGATATATTGTATGCTCACAGCTCTAGTTCACACTTAGTTTGGTGATGTTGGAATATAGACCATTTTACCTAGTATATTTTGAAACTCACTGGGGGGAATTCCAGCGGCCTAGCCTGGGTTCCAGGCCCTAATTTTAGGTTACTCACTCTTTATTGCACTTAGTGCGCGCCATACCTAATTTAATTGGCGTCCCATACTCAATTTCTTTTTTTCGAATTAGGGCCTGGGCAAACGATTCATGCGTGCAATTTCCCACATCAAATTTGATGTGGGATATCGTATGCATGACTGATTTTGTAAATCATGTGATTGGCTAACTACATGCATATTAATCAATCTTGGTAAATTTTCAAAATTGAAGATGCGGATGTCTCGACTAGAACAAGCTCCAGCTCCCTCTCCCTTTTGGCTACCTACTTGAATTAAAACAGTTAGTATAAGAGTTCTGGCCTGCTGAGAACGACATGGGCTGATAACAGTAGGCTATAGGCCTACTTGGAACCTTGCTCACCAGCTGCTACACAGATTTAGGCCTTTAGGGTAGAATATTGTTAAAAATGTAGGCCTCTGTAAGTAAGAACTTAAAAATAGGCCAAGCCTCTACTAGTCTAGGCTAGGCCTACTACCTGACTCCAGGCGAGGCCTGAGCCATCCTACTGGAAAGTTAAAGTTTTCTTGTATTTGTATGGTATGCCATCTAGTCTAAGCTTAATTGTTTTTGCCATTGCCAACATTAGTCTTACTAGGGGTCTATTCTAAATATTTTAGGCCCGTTTTATTATTGAAGACTATTTAAATTTAGTCATGCCTAACCATGGACCTATGGCCTAACTAGTCGACGCGAGTGACTCAGTTTCGTGGCTCCAAAAATATGAACATTTGATTGGTTGAAATTGTTTATTTCGGTCCGCCAATTTATCCAAATACGGAATATACGATTACGTCATTCTTTTGGCATCCTGGTGCCTGACTTCAGTGTTTTACAAGTCGCTTATTCCGTCTATAAATTAATTTTCTCGTTGGTGGCGTTGTCCAGAATGAGAAAAATAATAAAAAATAAGAGACTTGTGGCAAGTCTACCAGCGGCCTAGCCTAACCAGAGCAACTAGTATCAAAATAGTGCACAGCGCGCACACTGCTAACCAGGTAGTGTGAAGTGCGCAGGCCTCTGGAAGTCCCCAAGTGGTAGTTGACAGGTTATCGGAAATTTTTCATTTAAATTTCAAGAAAATGGTCTATAAAGACGTCTCGTATGAATTCACATTACAAAACAAAAAACTCAACAGGTATTTTCTGTTAATATTATTATCGCACATATAATAATATTCTTTTCCTAGTTCTAATTTAAGGTTGACAGCTAATAATATATTGAGATATAAACAAAAAAATTCATGTCTTAGATTCATGTGGCATTATACATGCTACTTACTTTTTCTTTTCATTAAGGCTGCTACTTCTTCTCAATCGGTAGCGGTCTCTCTCTTCTGTTGATGCTAATACATTTGCTTTCAAACCCTAAAGAATTAAAATAACATTAATTTATTGATCACAATTTGTGTAATTGTAAATCTTCTAAAACTATATTTAAATATTTTAAAAATTGTAATTAATAATAATACATTAATAAATATGAAATTACTTATTGAAATAACTTTTATATATTTTTTCAGTGTCTTTCTCAATAATTATATGTTGTAAGAACCTATTAAACAGACTGTTTTAAGTGGATCCTTTTGAGATGAAAAAATCAGTACATTTAACAGGAAGTTACAAACTTCTACTGTACATGCAAGTTTTTTGACACACATGTGAATTTTCTTACTACTTTCATTAATACTTGTAGACTGATTGATCTATTTATTTAAATGTAAAGACAGAATATAGTACACTTTATTGACGTTTGCAATTTTTCCAGTGTGAGGGCCTAAAAGACCAGCTTTGCTAGGTTACCTTGTCAAAAAGTTTTATTTAATTAAATTGTTACCTTGGCAATGACCTTTTGAAAGGTCCTTCTGAATGGCAGACGACACTTAATAAACCACATACTGATCACATGGTGGGCCATTGATACCACATATATACTGAACCTAAATAAAAAAGATAATAAGATTCCATCTTCAAATAAGAAAGAACATAAATCCCAGTTATAGCATTAAAGTAGTTACTGTACAACATATGCGACAAGACCGCAGCGCGACACGACACAACAACAACAACAGCAACAACAGCAGCAACAACAACAACAATAAAAATAATAATAAAAAAAATTATGATAATAGTAATAATAATAATGTTAGTCTTATAGTTCGTAAAATGCATTTCTGTAACTATTTCTCCAGATTTCCATAGTAAATTAAAAATTTCTGTAGTACATAATACTTTTCCTAGTTAAAAATTGCAGGTTCATCTGTGGAATCTCAAACAAACTGAGACCGGATGAAGATTTATGAAAAACTTTTCAGGATCATGATGGGTCAAACGGGACAGAATGTAGAATTACGGGCCACTTTCCTTAGTTTAGGGCCTAGATCATCCTGGGCCTGATCGTATTGGGCCCGATTGTCTATAATTTGATGTGCAATTTCAAACAAATGGAACAGAATGTACATTTACAGGCCACTTTTTCTTAGTTTTCACAATAATTTATCAGTAATCTGACAAGTATGAGTTATCCATAAACAATGTAACCAAAGATCCTGATGGAAAATGTATTTGTTTTGCACATCTAGATGTGTATAAGAGACAGTATATATATATATGCTTGTCTAGCTCTATGATAAATTTCCGCAGTATTTTTGTCTATTTGTGTACATCTGAAGTTAGGCAACCTTTATGTAGAAAACAAGCCTAACTACGGAAGTTCCGTAGTAATTGAGTGTTATAGTGCGCTTAATACAAAACAATGCTTCTAAGCGCCTTACATAAAATAAACACAAGAAATAGAATGAAACCATAAAATATCCTAACAGCCAACAAATGAAGGATGAGCCATTTTCACTCTTTCGAGTGAATTAATGGCATCTGACTATCCTATTCTATCCTAAAAAACAACAATGACAAACATAATATTACAGTAAAACCTTTACGACAACCCAAAAGGACATTTATCGGCTGCAAAGGGAATGGTAATTTAGGTAATTTACTGCAAGGAAGATGTTGACTTACTTGCGAAGGTCAGTATAGTGTAATGCAATAGCAAATATTGCCATGTACTCTTTTTCCACGAAATTCTTGTACAAACAAGGAGACCAAATAATACCTGTTTAAAAAAGTAAAATTACAACTTAAGTAATCTTTGCAACTAGATTACATATAAAAAAAAACCAAAACATCGCATTCTCATCAGCCAACACAATAAGAAGCTTTGCATGACGCGGTAGAATATGGAAGGTAATGACGTCACAAATATTTCATCTGGGCACTTGTGAACGTCAAGTTCCCCTCTTAGTGTGGATTCAAGGACGTGGTTTGATCAAATCGCCGCCATGCAGAGAACGTAAGACGGGTCGTCGTGCAAATCGAAAGTTCCCTAATGCCACAAAAAATGCAACATGACAAGGTGTGCATGCAGCAGCGCTATGATAAAGTGCTGGGTCCGACCCCGTTAATTGACAAACGGCGTATCATTAAGCGAACAAAGAGAGCAGAGATGGATTCGTCAGCCGACAGTTGCGTGCCCAGTATATAGAATGGAATGAGGCTATAATGCGTTCCCATTAAGAGACCTTGAGTGGAATTCCAGTTTTTTAAATGGCATTCCTCATATCTAACGACTCTGTAAAAAAGTCACTGGTCTGCAACAAGGGCATATCACACACTGCGGTTTGAGTGCTGGCTTGCAGTTCTACTTTCCTTGTTTTTCCAGTTACTAATGTTCACCTGTTTCAGCGCTTAAAGACCCTTCTATTTTCTTCATTATCATTCCCACAATCATCACGTTATCATGGAACTGTAGGAGGTGTAGTTGCAGTCCTTCATTTTGGGCAGTATAAATACATAACCTTTAACCTTTAAGAGTTTTAATTTAAGTCTCATTTAAGGTTGATAAGTTATTTGATACTTTAGAATTATTTATGCTATTTCTTGAATCTTTGAGGGCAGGTTTCAACGCATACTGCATTAATAAAATGTTTCAAAACTTGTATATTACCTGAGAGAAACTCCAGCACTGGTAGCGCCATGGTCTTTGTAGCTGATAACGTGGACAGTCCTAAGAGTATCCCCGGTAGCAACCTCAACATCAAACTTTGCATCTCAATCGTGCAAATCGTCAGTCCATCTACACACTGCTGAGCACACTTCAACTTTAACCCCATCTCTAGGCAGTGCACAAGACAGTTCTACAAAAACAAGACAAACATCATTTCAATGATTATTTCCTAAACAATCTTTTTCAATCAATCAGAATGCAGTAACAAACTATTTTTTTTCAACCAATCAGAATGCAGTAACAAACATCTTTTTCAACCAATCAGAATGCAGTAGCAAACTATCGTTTTCAACCAATCAGAAAGAAGTATTCAGTAGGTGTATTAATGACCATATCTATTTTTTTTTTTAAATGCTGCAGAAAACCACCATGGGTGTACAGATCATTTGGTGCTGAAAGCATTTTATAAAGACATTTTTCTTGAACGTAGGTATGGAATTTTTTTTCCCACGGGCCTGACCATATCCAAGGCAGGCTTTTTATAACCTGTTCCTTGGTATCAAGTACCAATCTAACAATATTTGTTTAGCATCACTATACGGTACTCAGCCCTACAATGTATACTTCTGCAAAGATTGAAATAATTAGGGAGATTCTTGCTTACTTGTGGAAGAGGCCGTCCGATTTCTGGGAGACTCCTGTGAGTTCCAGGAGACTTGGGACAACTGTCACACTATCAAATTGTATGCAACGAATTTGTGTGATATGCATATGTGGCAAAGAAAAGCCAAACCAGTCACTCGTCACAAATTGTGTTTCAGAGAAAATAGCCAAAACATGCTAAAATGTCAAATTTTTAAAAATCTATTTTATTGCACTAAACTAACCTTTGTATATCTACACACCATCCTATGCTGTTATTTTCCCCATTTTTTAATGTTAAAACAACACTTTTTAAGGATTTAAAGATAGTTTCTGCATGAGAAATGCCTGAAATCATAAACTTTGAAGGCTGATTTCTCATATATTATTCTTTTGGCAGCTGTGTGGTTAAACGCTTGTAACTTCATAAGGAAATGTCCGATTTTAATGATTTTTTTACCATTTTATAGCTAGTTATTTTACTCTCTAACAATGTATTAATAACACAAAATCGATTTTTGTGACGAGTGACTGGTTTGGTTTGTCTTTGCCACATATATAGGCATGATGATGTTATATTATACCCAAATATGGGCATAAATGACAATTATTTGTCACATGAACCTTTCTTTATATGTATCTACCTTTGATTTGAAGTTAAGGAAGCTGTGATAAGAGAGCGTGGCCGTGATGACGTCAAACACTCGATGGAAGTAATCTATGCGAGCAAAGTTTGCGGGCTTGTTCGTTAGTTGCTGGTGTGTCCTCTGGTTGATCTGAAAATAAGAGAATAAAAATATCCACTAAAATAAATTTTAGCTAATTTAGAAAGATTCACAGTTCAATGTATCCTACTAGAACAACTATAGCAACTGTATTTGGAATATAAATCATGTGAACATACTTTTTTACACTACTTACCAATGCACCGACTGTTTCACAGAAAACATCAAGATCCCCATTGGCTGCAATGATTAGCGTTTTGTTCTGCAAAGCTCGGGCAAGGTCACACAAAACCTGCTCAAGAACTCTCCAATCAGTCTCCTTTATTGAATAAATGCGAGCCAATTAAAAACACTTGAATCTTTATCTCATTCCATAAAGCATACTTAGGTATATAGTGTATATTTTAATTTATTTATAAATTTCCAATGGGTTCTCTTTTTTTTTTTCAGGCTTGCCCAACACAAGATTTTTCTCTCTCAGGACCGAGCCTTCTTTCATTTACATGTTTTTACAACTTATTCTTTTTTTTATATTGTATATTGTAACTCATGTCAATGAAGAAAAATATATGTTTGAATTGAATTGAATAATTGTGTCTTTGAACAATACAATAATAATTTCTGTTAACAATTTTTACTTGAAATATATCAAGTCGTTGAGGCAGGCACCGTAGCCTACAGCTATAATATATCTATGGATCTCGTGGTTGAACGAATCTTCTCGGATAAAGACTATAAACCATAGAGCGAGTGTACACAATTGGCTCATTTGTACTTTAACGAACCCAGTAAAACTTTCGAAATGAGTAGGGGCTACCCCAGTGTACAGGCCCATGCAGCCCCCATTACTAGGTTATGGACAATTAGGTCATTTTTGCAAGATGTACCTACGTAAATGTAAACATTTTAGAGCAAATTTGCTTTTTAAGATTCAACTTACATATTTCAAACAGATGGTAACAGTCTTAAAGGCCTCTATAAATGGAATAACCGTTATCTGGCTGGTCTTGTCAACAGAGGGCGATGTTGGCATGCTTGGCGGAGAGGTCTTGCCCATGGTATCATCATACCTGGTGATAACAATACAGTATGAAACTGAAATTCATGAGAATACTAAGAATATACTCTATATAAATTCTATAAAATTATAAAGCAAAGTAAAACTGATCCATAATTTGCAACGCTGAAGCAGACTTCCTAGTTTCGCATTAAATAATATTATCTTTTTTATTTATTATTATAATCACATTTTGCTACTAAATTTTTTGTGTTTCTATATTACCTGTGATCACATAATACATATGGACTGAACTGGAGAACACCGTCCTTATTTGGAAGACCAAGACGGAAATTAGTATCTGCTCTTAGTTGCATCAGACAATGAAATTGCTGGTAAATAAAAGAATACTAAAGTTGGTTAACACGTTGACTGCCAGACCTTTTTTTTTTTGGTTCCTTCCCATGTGCCGAAAAGATAATTTTCATAAATTTTACCTTGTCATATATCATAAATTGGCGGAAAAATATTATGGGACAAGAAAACTCGTCGCCGGCAATGGGACAGTACTTTTTATTGCCTTTGTCACGTACAAGTTTTCTTGTCTGCTTTTTGCATGGGTTGGTAAAGGTGTAATCGAGTGTACTGCCAGCAACATGTAACAACCAAAAACATACATATGTTATTTATCAGCCGTTAAGTCTATGGTAATTAACACTAGAATGCTATCCCAATTTTGACGAGTATAGTCAACCCTAGCACCCACAGCAACACCCTCTGGGGCAAGTATATTCGTCGCTGGTAGCGAACATGTTAATATTGATAAGGGAATGAGGACGTACATGTTTTTCTTGCCCAAGGACACAAGCAAATGGATTTTAAACCTGACCTCAAGGTCGAACGCATGCGTCAACAAGCACCTACCTGACATCTAATTTTGCCAGCTAGCTTAGATGTGTAGTGGTTACTGTAGTGAGACTGAATATGCTTCACCAAGATATCGAATGCTATCACCGCATGACTTGAGGGCAGCTTCATAAGCTTAGTCTGCATAGAAAATACACGGAAATGAGGCTGACTGCATAAGTTGTATTCATTAAATATGTTTCCTAGGATGGAGGATTCCATTATTTTTGTTAGGTAAGGTTTGCAAAGACAAATTTGGCATTGGTTCATACACAAAGTATAACTTAATATAAATCAATATAATTTTTAAAAAACTAAACTTCTCTGTGTTTAATGTGGCTCCATCACTAAATGTAATGTTCCCTGTGTTTACCAGCCATCTGGTGAACATTTGCTTCCCATTTTTCACCCACAATATGTAATTCATCATCACTAACTACATTATAAAACTCATCTGGTAATATGGTCAACAAATGAATGGTGCATTTCTTCATAATAGTATCATACAAGAGCCAATATAAACCTCTTGTCTATTATATCAGGTGTCTTTGTTTTGCCCATATATGGGTATATGACATCATCCCACTGTATATGAGCCATAAATCACACTTATTTGTCACCAAAGAACTTGGTAGTGTGGGCGAGCTTATTGTAATGTGAATGTCACAAACTCACAGTGAACAAGTCTAAAAGGCCTTTAACAGCTGTACATATGTCAACAAGATCATCATCCAGATCATCACTGTCTACTTGCCTACCAACCATTGGCTTCATAACAACCTATAAAATTATAAAAACGAAGTAAAATCTTTACCATCTAACAACATATTTAAAAAAGGGTAGTCACCAAGCTGAACATTTGGAATGATTCATTTCGGATAGTATAAGGGCAGAGTATATATGATTGTAAGAAAAACTCACAACAAGGGAATTGGAGGCTTTTCATTTCCTTGTTATGCTTCTAAACTTTGGAATAATTTTCCAACTGACCTTAGAGATATCTCTGATCCTAATCTTTTTAAACGTGCACTCAAGATTTACTTGTTTGCCTAATTCTCTTTTCGCTGCTTTTTTCTTTTTCCTTTTGTGTTTTTATTGTTGTAATCTGTTTAATTGTCATTGTTGTTTGTGTGACTGTTCTACTGTGATGCTTCAGGTTCCTGAATATAATGACTGATTTTATGCCTGATTTTTTTCCAGAATTATTGAGGCTTGGCTGGCACTTCATAACCGCAAGGGAAAGGCGCAATAAATACCCAATACCAGTACCAGTGATATTTTGACTGAACCCAGGAACTCCACCTTCCATCAAACTATAGATCCACCCCTTTTACACAAATGGAGTATGCTGTAACTTTGTGACTAAATTCCTTGCCTCCCAACTTATATCATGTTGAGACATTGTAAACTGATTTAAATGAGACTGAGCTCCATTTAATTTATAGGGGTGTCAGTGGCATATCTAGGGGGTGTACCCAAAAAGTACTCTTGGCCATCACCCCTCCCTCCCCCCTGCTCAAAGTCACCACTTCCAAATAATCACACTCAAGTAGTTAAAAATCACCTCAAATTACTTTATTCTGTGAACTAGCACCCACCCCCTCCTCCTTCAGCCAATCGTCGAGCACTTTCAGTTCACCTTCGCGCCCCCCTCATTTGAAAAGATACACTATTGTAGGTTGTTCCTTCTCATAGATAACTGGTAATAATCAGTTTAACCAGCTAAGTATTAAATGTCTACACAATGTAATTACCTTTTCCAAGATCAGAAGAATATCAATGCACTGAGGTGTCTGGCAGTCCATCGCCACATCGACCAATAACTGGACAGCCACATTCCTAACGCATGTGTCTGCATCCTCCTGGATATTGCTAAGATACGGTAGTACTAATGCTTTAATCAACTCTTCCTACAAAAGGTAAATTATACATACACATGAAAAACTAAAAACCGAAAGGTCCACTGATTAATCTCAGATAAGAAAGTATAATACACACTCCAAGTATTGAAATACACGCCATCGTGTTGGGATTCAATATTTCGACATTAATTATGTCATCATCAGGAATGAAAAACTAAATATTTAATATTGGAAAAGGGTGTATTTTGATCCAATTAAGTTTATCTCAAATTATATAGAGTGGAGCTGAATAGCTTATGGTGCTTGACTTCTAATCCAAGGGTCCTGGGTTCAATTCTTGTGACAGGACTTTTTCTCACGACTAAAAACATCTCCACTTCCAAATCATCAAAAAGAGACACTGCTGATAAAAGCACCACATTATTCCACTTATTTAAGAGGACCCCTGAATATCAGCCGACTTTCTAGGATACGCTTGAAAGGTCACCTTCTATAAATATTTTTTTTTATGAACAAATTTAAGAAAATACATCTTTTCTAGAGCCTTCACTGTCAGCAGTGTGCTTATTGTTAAAATTAACCAATCAGCAGTCAATATTTTGCTGATCGTATGTTTGATAACTGACCTCATATAGATGACTTGTTTGACTGAGGACGTACGAGAGAACGTTCAAAATCTTCTCCCTGATCACCATTCGTGTCTCGTTCTTGAAGTATTTTTCCATCAGATGCTGCATGTTATGTATCCACTCTTCTCTAGTAGGGTGTATAGCCTGCGCCCTGTAGCTCACCAACAGCAGCACAGAGCTTTCCTAGTAATTGAAAAAAATATTTAAAGATTTATAGGGCTTTATGCCAACAAGGCCTCTAAGCACTTCACACTTTAACTCCCGGCCATTGGATCAAGCACATATGGAACACGTACTCAGCTCCCTGGAGAGAATTTCATATTATGTTACAGCTGTAATCAGCCATGTAACTATAGGTAAAATGCACTGCCTGAACACAAACAAAATTAGTGAAAAAAGTTAGTGATTGAACCTCGGACCTCTAGGGTGAGAAACAGAGCCACAAATGCTGCGCCAAACCACTTAATATAAGTTAAGACTCATTAAGCTATCATGTTAGGATTCACTATTTTTTATTCTTTACTTGACTGATCCTCAGGTAGAATAAAATAAGGAATTAGCAGAAAACAGGTCCAAGTATCATTGACGTCAGACTACGAATAAGTACTTCATAGGATCCAACACCAAGCTGCGTACAGAATGATGCTCCCCAGGAAGCTAAAGATATTTTTCAAAGGTGATTGTTCCAATGAACACAAGGGGTAATATGAGTGTAAAACATATAGGACCCCTGCCAGTTTACCGCAAAACACTATATAACTTTCAAATAAAAACAAAAATGGAACTCTGAAAACACACAGAGACCTCAACATGTCTCTGTTTTCGGAGTTACTGTCTTTTTGTTCTACATAATTAGCATGTTACTGTTTTTTGTTATTAAGAATTATAATACAGAATTTCAGGTAGCAAAGGTAGTCTTGAATTGGATGGCTAACTGTAGCTACTCACTGGTCTGATATGAGAAAATCTTTCAATGACATCGAAGAGATCTGTGGCAGAGCCATTGAACATGCTCTTCTCGTACAATTCCTCTACTGACGTCAGAAGCTCCTGCACCATATTCTGAGTCTCCGTCTCCTTGGGTGTGGGGTGCTGCTTCTGAAGAAAAAACAGCGAAAGAAAAAATTACTTTTTAGATGCTAATAAAGTTCAAGGACAACATAGCAAAACAAACTTCTGACTACAAATAAAGATAAAAATAAAGGATCATGTTGTTTCAATCTTCTTGTAAAATAATATCAGTAATTCCAAGCAATCAATCCTAGTCACAACAGGGAGGTCCTTATTTGTAAACCATTGAATAGGAAATAAGACTATTCAAATGTGGCCCTCTGGGTCAGACTGTTTTATTCAAAGGGTGTTCCGTTTCAGGTACAAAGGCAATTAGTCGGTTTATCCAGGTAAGTATTCACGAAATAGACAAGAAGACATACAGTATGTTTGAATGGGTGAATGAATGAGTAATTTAAAGGTTTTTATGATTTTAAACATGTCTGTTCATAGGTTGCTTCACATATTTGAATGTGTATG